TTTCCTCTTGACAACATATATCTTTTATAAAAAGAAAAGACAAAAAACTGCATTAAACAATGCAAAATCAAAAGATCGAGATGAGGACGGTGATCAGAAACAAAATATTGTTCACTGGAAAAATAACGAAAAGAGCACGAGTGAAAATATATATGACGAAATTGATGACAGTTTGCTATGTGGTATACAAATTCCTTCAAATGATGGAAACGATTTGGATTATACTGAAGATGATGAAAACAGTAACTCAATCAAAGAAGAGGTAAACGAAGGTTACCTGAACCCGTATCAACCAATCATATCAACAGAGGTAGAAGTTCATCAATATAACACAACGAAAAACGAGGAGGACAACTCAACTTATTCAGATGAAAATCCGAGGGATTCAGGATATCTCCATCCGTACCAACCACTTGTCGTGACATCTACTGATGCTAAACATGAGTATACTGGAACAAAACTTTTAAAGACCGATTTGAAAGAAATTAAGAAAAAAAGAAGAACAGGAAGACCGTGATGAATGAGGGAAAAGTGTACGTTTAATGTAGTATTGGTTACTTTCGCCATCTAGGATTATAAAATAGCAAAACATAATAGGTCTAGTTGTTCAATCAAGTCAGCAAAATTTAATGCAGAAATATGCAATTAAGTTATGTAAATTTTCATTTAAATGAACAAAAATTAGTGATTTTAACTTACAATAACTTATACTTTTACAAAGGGAGATTATTTTTCCAGGTTTTCATTTTTTTTTTAAATTAAAGTATCAAGGGGAGTTAACTCAGAAATAGTATTATTTCTTAAGGAAATAACGTACGATGACCCCATTGTTTTCTTTAGATATTCTGAAAGCAATTTGTAAGAGCTATATTCTTGTATTTTATTCCACCATGTATCATTTAGTTTACACTGTATTCACATTATGATGATTTTCCCTTAATAACATATACAACTTGCGTCCTGTTGTCCATGTTCATGTGCAAATAAGTAAATTTTGTCAATGTTGTTTAACATGTTTAAGTCGTATGCTTTTATTTTATAAAGACAAATGTATTCTGTGTGAAATTTTATCATTCTTTTTAGTTATATGTATATAATTCAAAAAGAACATCTGTCAAACTATTTCAAAACATTCTTCCAAATATATTATCTGTTCAATACCATATTGTCGTTCAAACATTTTGATAATTGTTCAGACTATGACTGTATGTTTGATGTTATTTGTTGCAGTTAACTGCAGAATTTTTAAGTTAGAACGTAATAATTGTAACAAATGTTTTGAGATATTGGATCTGGATGAAAGTATTATTTTATGTAAATATAGAAACACTACCCACAGACTCTTATTCAAACTGAGGAAGTAGAATAAGGTTGATAGAAATGATAAAAAAAAGTCATCTTTGCAATCTTGGTAGCATTTGAGACGAATTTCATTATCTGCTAGAATTCTCTTTTTTTATATTTTTTTTATTCTACGAATTTAGGAAATTATACTATCATGATACATACTATTTGGCTCGCGTTAATATATTGAAGTTTAAAAACAAACTGTGTCAAAGCTAAAATGATTCTGTAAGTTCGTAAAATGTGTAAACAAACCACTGGGTCTTTCTTGCTAAATTGTATATTGTTTTGAAACCACTGTATTGTATATACATGTGTGTAAATACATGCATATGTCTGTACAAATTTTTGACCTTCTTTGTACATATGTATCTGCATTGGCTATGAGAATACAAAAAGATATTGATATTATTGTCGTTTATATAATTGTGTTTTGTCGCGCAGATATTATAGAAGGATGTAGTCATTATAAATGAGTTAAAGTTCAAAGCACATTGCGTGATTGAAACATCATCAACAATATCAACTGACTGTTTTTTTATAAAGTTGTTGCCTTTTAAGAATTAATTTATGAATTAACGTTTAATAATTTAAAATCGCATTTAAAAAAAATAGATTTAATACTCAATTGATATTTGGTGATGACAGCCTAAGTGAAATCATTTTGATCCAGAGACGACCAAGTGAGGATTTTATGTAATCCAATGATTTTATCATGGCATGAAATAAAAAAGAAAAAAACATTTTATTGACATAACGTCCACTGTAGCACACTCTTAACTGAGAGAAAAAAGAAAGCATGTAGACTTTCACCAAATCTGGTTTATCTTCAGAGATTTTAATGAAATTAACTCAAACATTAAGTTTTAAAAATATTTCATAAAGATCAGAAAATTCCAAGCCTTAACTATGACTCAGCATTTGTCAGTTTACAGTATGCATAGTTTACCTTAACATAAAAATAAGAAGATGTAGTATGATAGCAATGAGAAAATTCCCAACCAGAGACCAAACGACATAGAAGTTAACAACTATAGGTCGTCGTACGGCTTTAACAACTAGCGAAACCCATACCGCATAGTCAGCTATAAAAGGCTCCGAAATTACAAATGTAAAAAAGGCAACAGTAGTCTACTGCTAGTCAAAAGTCATAAATCGATTGAGAGAAAACAAATCCGTCTTACAAACTAAACCCGAGGGAAAGGGAAACACGTCAACTCTAAGAGGAAAACAACGGAACAACAGAAACACTGAAGTGTAACAACAACAAACGTCGACATACATAGAAACAAACTATTTGATTACAACTGCCATATTTCTGACTTGGTACAAGATATTTTAAAAAAAATTATGGGTTGAACCTGGTTTTATGGCTAGCCAAACCTCCCGCTTATATGGCAATGTTGAAAAATATCGCCAAAATAACAACACTACGTGACAGAAATACAGTACAAACAAACGCAAGAACACCAAGCATAGAGAAACGCATAAATAATTAATATAATAGTACATTAGTAACATGTAAACCGCAGAATAACAACGAACAGTAAAACAGTTCAAACGAGAAAACTTATGCCTGATTTATGTTCACAATAATGAACGAAAAATTAATATGGGGTACAGAGAAACGTATAAAAAAATAATATAATAGTACATTAGTAACATGTAAACCGCAGAATAACAACAAACAGTAAAACAGTTCAAACGAGAAAACGTATGCCTGATTTATGTTCACAATAATGAACGAAAAATTAATATGGGGTACAGAAACAAACGACAATAACTGAATTACAGGCTCCCGACTTTGGACAGGCACATACATAATATGGCGGGGTTAACATGTTTGCGGGCGCCCAACCACCCCCTTAACCCGGGACAGGGGTGTAACAGCACAGCACAGCATATGAATAAACTATAAAAATCAGTTGTAAAGGTCTTCACTCATCAGATCAATACAAAGTAGAACAACACGTAATAAAAACACAGACCTGATGTAGCAGGGTATTTATACATCCCACAGCAAAAGACAAAAAGTATAGATCTTAGAGTACTGCGGAATTACTGCCAGCTAGTTCAAAGCGCCAATAACAACAAGTAAAATAATAATGTATCTTAGACTAATGTATCAATTAGTACAATCAGTACAATCAGCAAACATCCAATATCCAATGAATTTAGTGTAAAGATGTCATTCCGATTTGGAGAAAAACATGACCTTGTGCAATACCAAAATACAGGAATCGACAGATTGTAGAATCGTGAATGTGCATATATAAATTATATAAGTATAGAAAACTATTACTTTTACCAATAAAAACAATATTTAAAGATATAATTAGAGTGTTCAATTGGTAACCTTATAAAATAAGTTTATTTAAAAGGATCGGTTAGTTTTTCCTGGCTCGGTAAACAACATCTCCGAATAGATTAGGATATGCTTTCCCGTATGAAATAAATTTCTACAGGTACAGCTAAACTTACAAACCAAAGGTTGATGTCTATTGAAGAATTTGGTAAAGGTTTTAAGTAATTTGTGATAACGAAATCCTTGACCTAATTACTTACCAGTAATACATAGTTTACGTTTATTGAAAATAAAATGTAATAAAAGAAATCAAATCAAATAAAAAGGTAATTATATGACTCTTTTCCGCTGAGTTTGTTAAACTTACGTTGTCAATTTCTTCATAAATGATGAAACATAGAATTTGAATATCAAATAGCACAAATGCAGTTTAAGATGTTGATAGAGCAATTTAAAATCAATTAGAACCACTAGCTAAATACATAAAACATACAAAATAACCACTGACAAAATTATCCTCATGTACAGAAACATTAACTCTTCCCATGGTAATATTAGGGTTCGACATTCCTAACCTTCCAACTCATCTATATCAACATGATCAATAAATTAACAAAACGGGAAGCGGAAAGTGCAATTCAAAAGCAGTTCAGAAGAAGTGTTTAACTCTATAAAATTGGTATTTATAACAGACGACCGAAAAATACCTATTAGAGAAACAATATCGTATTGTAAAGTTTGAAGGAAAAGTAATGTTACTGACAGCGAACCTAAATCATGTATTCTGTTAAAATGAAAAAAAAAAAAATATCAGACACAGAGAATGCTCGCAGAATTTGAAATTAAACTAAATTTACTTATCCCGGATGAAGAAATACTGTTTTATCGACCACTGTTCTTCCAGGTAGTTACTATTCAGTTACGTTATGAGCAGTATTGAATTTGTTTAACTGCGGTATATATTCTGCATTAATGGTACAATTTTGTTGTCACAATTCTTAGATCAAACCACTGTTTATCGAAATATAGAATGTCATCAAAATTGATGGTAGTGTTTTACGGTTTGTAAGGTCACACAAATATTTATGGCAATACTATCAGATATACTTAAGGGAGCATGCGATGAAAATTACATCTTTCCGACAACAATTAATTAACAAACCTAAGGAATACTAGTTATTCATGGCGTTAAAGGTAAACAGGTTAAGAGAAAAAGTAGCTTGTACCTTACATTTTAAAATGGTGCGTAAAAATTTATTATGATTTTCCATCTGAAAAGTCTGCAAACAAAGTAAAATGCACATTATAGAATTATAAACAACGATACATTTTAGAAAGTTTGATGGCTCTGGTGTGAAAGGAAGTGATGACTGCACAATATGGGTACTCTACACTGATTTTTTTTTGTGTTTGCGAGTTCAGTGCTGATTGGTAGTTAACTTCCGTTTTAATTTGAGAAAGTACAGGAATATGCCATTTATAACAAAGTATGACTACATTAGTTATGATAAAAACCGTTCATAAAGGATTTGAAAAAGTTTTCTTTTCTCACTCATTATACCTTTGATTCTTATAGATGAAGAATGTATACAACTACCACGAGTTTAAAATATTTATATTACATGTACTTCTTCTTTTTCGCCAAAGGAATTAAGAATAAAACTCTGTTTACCTATTATAGCTAAGTATTAACATAAACTATTAATATAAGTTGACATTCAATCCTATTCTATCATCTTCATATTTACTCCACATTGTAATGTTTTAACAAGTTTATTATCTCATTGTCCTTTTTCTGTAAAGCAAATTTAATAGGCGTCATCTTAAACTTGTCACACACATTTACAGATGCACCATTTTGAAGCAATAGTTCAGTAACATCTTCATGGACTGCTGATAAAGACTTGAATAGAGGTGTCTGACCTAAGTTCTCCACCATATTAACAGATGCCTGACTTTCAAGTAACAATTTCGTAAGACCAACATTTCCAGCCTGAGCAGTCAAATGAAGAGGTGTTATGCCATCTTTATCAGCTTGATTTATATTTGCACCTTCTGTTATCAAAATTTTAGCCATTACTCTATTATCCTCTTTGCATGCTAAAAACAGTGGTGTCCATCCATCTTTATCCGTTTCATTTACATGTGCACCGTGTGTCAAGTGCAGTTGAAAGGTATCTACATTGTCCTCGCGACAAGCAATATACAGAGGAGTTAAACCCTCTTTCTCTTTTTTATTTATATCTGTTCCATATCGCATAAGTATTGTTATCAAGCCTGCATGACCTTGTTCACAACAAATATGGAGAGGTGTCCTACCATATTTTTCTGTTTCATCAACTGAAACACCATGTTTGCATAATTCTTCAACTATATTTTCATTTCCAGATAAGCAGGCGTAATGGAAACGAGTTGTTGATTCTTTGTCTTTGGCTCTTGAATCCGCTCCATGTACCAAAAGGAGGGAAGCAACGCCTTGAAAACCATGTTCACATGCCACATGAAGTGGTGTCTTATTATATATATTTGTGCAGTTAACATTTGCCTTGTATTCTAACAACATATTGGTGATATTTTGATGGCCATTATTACAAGCAATATGAAGTGGTGTATTTCCATATTTAGTATAGAGAGAAACGTCTGCATTTTTTCTAGCAACATTTTAACAATAAGCTCATGGCCCTTTCTACAAGCCCAGTGGAGTGGGGTAGATTCCTGTGAATCACGTTGATTTATGTCAACACCAAGTAACAGCTCGGTTATTTCACTACTTCCTACTTCACAGCAACAATGTATTGGACGCTTTCCTTCTTCATTGTCTATTAATATGTTAGCATTATATTTCAAAAGTAACTCAGCAACCTCTTTCTGTTTTTTCTCGCAAGCTAAAAGTATCGGAGTTCGACCTTTATTGTTAGCAAGATTGACATCAGCATTATTTTTAAGTAACAATTCAACTACTTCAGCAGATCCTTTCAATGTAGCTAAATGTAAAGGAGTATGTCCAGCTTTATCCTTTATATTAACCTTTGCATTTCTATTCAACAACAATTCAGCCAGGCTCCTATTTCCATTTCTACAAACTACATGTAATGGCGTTTTCAGATCTTTTTGTCTTTGTTTTAAAGTAGCTTTTTTCGACAAAAGCACAGCTACTGTATCTTAATGACCACCAGCGCAGGCTAAATCTAAAGGTGTATTTCCATTTTTATCCGTTTTGTCAATAAATGCTCCTTTCTCTAGTAAAAGCTGTGCTGTATGACTATGTCCCTTGAGACAAGCGAAATGCAACGGAATCTGACCAGACCTATTGTCTTTGTTAACCAACGATTTGTCTAAATCTAAGAAATGTGTAAGGTAGTCGTCATAACCTTCTAAGGATACAGCATGCACAACTGTTGAACCATCATCAGAGTTCTTTAAATCATTCCATTTTAACATGGTTTTCATATACGAAGTAAAGGCTTTTCTGAATTGAGGAAAGGCATTCTGCATATCCGTTATGACATCCCAGAACAACCCTTGTTTGATATCAATTACGATTCGGTCAAAGTATGCTTTTTCTAATATGCCTGGAACCACAATTGTCAACTTATGATGATGTCCACTCAGAGACAGAAACTGAACTCTATCCTTTAGAAACGATGTCTTACCATATTTCAGTAAACTTCGTAGGATATGTTGACTCAAGACATGTGCAATTATATACAATAAAGTTTCGTTCATAAAGGAATACCCATATTCCGTTTCGATGCAATAAGATCCAACTAAGGCAATTAGACAAAAGATTAATGACTGTTTTGATGGTATTTGGGTATAACCAATTTCATTTGCCAAACATTGAATAAGTTCATCAAAATTTCTATCTTGACTCCGATTATCGTTTTCATGGATAAGTTTTTCATTTTTTACATTTTGTTCAAAATCACCATTAGTGCTAATGAAAAGTAATACAAATCTTTTGTTTTATTGCATTTTTCGATCTCTGCGGCCACATAACTATATGGTGTTGAAAACTATTCTACGACATTTTCTTTTGTATCGGATGAATAATCTGTGCACAGTGTAGAAAAGAAGCTTAATTTCATAATGACTTCATTGCCTAATTTGTCTATTATCTCTGCGCTTAAATATGGTTTTCCTATTGTCTGTCGATTGCTTTCGGTTAGCTTCAAGTCTTCTCCGAGAAGGCTGTGATGAACAAAAGCTGACTTCACTGTTACAATATCAACTGAATTATAAATATAAGACCTACAATTTGCTAGTATTTTAAAATCCTTATTTCTATCCTTTAGCGTAAGAACCAAATTACCTTTCTTAGTCCACCACATAGTTTTATAAGCATGTACATTATACTTTCCAAATATATCGTCAATGATAAATATCTGTTTCTTATCTTTAGATGCATATTTGACTATGTCATTTGGGTTTGTAACAATCAATAGTTCGAATTCTTCGGTTTCCTCTAGAGTTAATGCTATGTGAAATGCCAGAAACGACTTTCCACATCCTTGTGGTCCTGAAACCAGGATACACTGATCTTTCTTCATGCTCTCCAATATCATTTTGGATGACTTGGTTTCAATAAATCGATGCAAACGTTCTTTCCACTGCTTCTTTTCATAATTCTGTAGTTCTAAAACACATAATGATATTCAGTTAAGCAATTATACCGTATGTTTTAGAGTTTTACGCTTACTTGTGACACAAAACGTTTTCAGGTCTAGGTACATGTACAGTTAATTAGCTATGTCACAGATTTTGGTAAAATTTGCATGTATTTGTAACTTGAACTTGTTGAACTATAATTAAAAATCGATAAATCTTGCATATATCTCTTTCATATTTTTTTTAAATATTACTTAAAGAAATCTAACATTTAGTTAGTGTTGGAATCCATCTGTTACCTAGTTGCTAGTGCAAAATTGTTTTGTAAAAGTACAATTTTTCAAAATTTGACACTTCATTGCGAATTTTACTTATGATAAGAATGATGTTCACAACATTTCCAGTGGGTACAATATTTAGTATTTAAATGGTTTTCAAAAACATCAATCACTTAACATTACTTTTCAACTAAAATGCACTTTAAGTCTACAGAAAACTTTTTTGAATGCTTTAACAACATTGAAATTGAAAGTCTCATAATATTCTTAATCTATATGATGACCTATGCAGGTATACTGGCAGAAATATGTAATGCTTACACGTTGTTTTCAGAATTGATGACTAATAGCGGTACGAGGGCCATTGCTTTAAAATGTTTAAACTACCTGATTTTCTTATAGAGATGGACACAATTTATACTAAAAGTCATACCGAAGAAGATCACACAAGAATGTTCGGTAAAATCAAAACTATGGTTTTCAATATAGGTCAGTATCACTAATGCGCCTCAAAGTGAGGTACTCAAATATAATTTTTTAACAAGAAGCTCCATGCAGCGAGATAAGACACGTTGCTATTTTTAGCAATTGACTGAGCCTATTTGTTTTGTATTGATTCAGTGTAAAAACTATAGAGTTATTTAATTTTTACAAGGTACTGAATTTCTAGAGAAGGTTTTGTGTGAAAATAGGGATGATTCACCTCCGGAAACCGCATTTAAAGGGGCTTTTAAGGTTATGCGTCAACGAACGATATCAGACGACGACAGATGCAAAGTGATTGTAGTATAATCAGACAAACCGAATACGTACAATGTGTGAGAAGCAAAATCTATAATATTTCGTATACTATGCTTTACCTTTGATGTTTTCTGGAATTGGATTATCAAGCCTATTCTTTTATTCTAAGTTTTCTCGCATTACATCTTCCATTTTTATATGTCCATGTACGCTGCCTGAAACGGGGAAGGTAATGTGAATCTTCAAATGAAAACATCATATTTATCAAGTGAGGGATACACTATATAACCATTACAAAGTACTTTCTAAGTAATCATAAAATTGAGAATGGAAATTTTTTTTGGGAATTTGTCAAAGAGACAACAACCCGACCAAAGAACAGAAAACACCCCAAGGCCACTAATTGGTCTTCAACACAGCGAGAAGATCTCGCACTTGTAGGCGGACTTCAGCTGACCCCTGAACACAAATGTGTACTAGTTCAGTGAAAATGGACGTCACACTAAACTCCAAAACATATAAATGAACTAAAATAAAAAAATACACACAAGACTAACAAAGGCAAGAGGCTCCTGACTTGGGACAGGCGCAAAAATGCGGCGGGGTTAAACATGTTTAGTGAGATCTCAACCCTCCCCTTTATATCTAGCCAATGTAGGATAAAAAAAAAAACAACAATACGCACAGTAAAACTCGGCTTGAAAGAAGTCCAATTCCGATGTCAGAGTAAGTAACAAAAGAAACTACGCAAAATGACAATGATACATAATTTAACATAGGACTACTAGTAGTTACTGACATGCAAGTTGCAGACATCAATTAAACTGATTAAAAGATTGTGTCTTCATCATATGAAAATCAAGTTCAATCCCTCCCGTTAGGGCTTTGGTATCATACTATCATACAATATATGAAAAGAACATAATCGGTATCATGCCAACAACCGGTTTTCGAATACATGTGTTTACTTTCAATGTAAAGACCCTATGAGTGAATCAATATTAATTCCTAAATATGCCATCTTTAATGACCTGATAACAGAATTGCAACTATATCCATTCTGAATAAGTATTTTTAAAGGTCCGTTTAGTTTGGAGGTGAATGACGACATTTTTGTGCGTTGTATAGAATATTACCATAAACGATTGGAAGTGAAATACCAGAATAGATGTCCGTGGTCATGTCTGTGTAAGTAATTTCTTTACAAAACTCGCACATACATTTATCATTTGCCATGACATGAAAACAGAAAACTTCTGTACGTATAAATTTCCATTAATTTCTAGAAAAATAAAAGCTTTTTTCTCGGAAGACTGTTTATCACCATCTGAATTGAAAAGTCATGATCTAGTACACGACAAAGAATTAAGACACTAGTTAGTTTTCTACAAAAGTAACATTGTCTGTTAATTCGATAAAAAGTTCATGCTCTATCTTATTAAAGTTATTTGTTTAATAAAAGTAATCAAATACAGAAACTTTAATTTTTCTTACAATTATTCTAAATCGGAAATAATTTTTTTTATGAGATATTTAAATCCTTCAAGGCGGTAACAATTGAAAATGGTGATTTACTAACATTTTGCATACAAAAAACTAATCGTTGTCAGAGATATATTCGTTTAAACCATTATAATGATCTATCCTTATATTCTCCAAAAGGTAGCGACACTGGATATATTTTAAACATATTATAAAAACTTTAAACATACATCCAATTACAGCTGCTTAAAGAAGTTTGTTTCTCTACAATTGACTAGTATTTTAATTTGTTTAGAATGTTTGAATTTTAGTAAAGAATATATTCCTTTTTCTTGTATACTAACTTACCAGACCTGTCCAAGAATAGCGCACTCATCATAAAAGCTGCAAATAAGACATATTAAAAAGCTGGTACATGTAAATCATGTAATCAAAGTTCAGTGTCTGTCAAATGTATCTTATTAGACGACGTCTGCAAAATCGCTGCCATGTTAATTGACGAATTTAGCTATCCTTCCAAAACTCGCATTGTTAATATATATAAATTATGTACTATTTTTCGTATCTGATAATACAAGAGTTGGGTAGTTAGGAGTAAATCCAGACTATTCCAGAAATTATACAAATAGTTCTCATGACATTGCACACAGTTGAAGACATATGTTCCAGATAGATTGGCGAATGAAATTTCCAAGAGTAATATTCAAACCACTGTAAAACATTTATTAATGCATACTCAGTTTGAACTCCACCACTTACTATTAACGGAAGTTGACTTAAAGTCCATGTGTTATCTGCTTGATATTACTACGATAATGAGCACTGTTTGATAAGCTCCAATATATAATAAGGAAACCATATATATTTGAAGACAAAATCCCTATGTTGGATATCGTTAGTAAGACGAACATCTTACATTTGTTGCTAGTGTTTTGACAAACAGTCGTCAAAAGAGTAAGGAAAAAGTTATTTTGTTATATCAATCTTTTCAGATAATTTTTAGACATATGCAAATTGAAAATAGTTTATTACATTGTATCAAAACATTTCGATCGCAATTCGTTTGGAATTGTTCAATCACTTCATAACGTTTAGCTGGTGTCATTTTCCGCCTATTAACTTAGTAATGAGGAAAAGTTACATTTGGGGGCTAATTTGGCTCTGTGAATGCCCCAAAAATAAAACAGTGTATCGTACCAGTTCTGATTTAAATCAAAATTCGTTAGCAATAAAAGAGAAATAGAAAGAGCCTGTGTTTCTCACCGTGATCTAGGTACATGTTCAACGATGGCAATTCTTCAACATTTAAGATTAGAATATAAAGCATGACAAATATAATATTTTGTTGTTCTTGTATAGCTGGCCACATTTTCTTTTTCGGTTTCTTTCTATCTATAAAAGTTTTTACCAAAAATGCAAAATTGGTAAACATCTTCATTTAAAGCAATGACTCCTATAAGTCATATCACAATATTGGTCATCCAGACTTATTCGTAGATCTCGTCTTGTCTACGTTTTTTCTATATCTATTACAGTTTTCATCAAATGTGCATAATGGGTAAAAATCATTAAAGGAGTCAAGCACAAATTTTTGCTATTTTGACACATTTGTAGATATTGTCCTGATGATCATTTTATCTGTGTGCAGTTTTATTTTATCTACTTCATTTCTGGCCAAAAGTTCAAAACTTGGTAAAGGTATCATTTAGGGCAAAAACTGCTGCATGTTTAAGATATCCACCGACGAGTTTGAGAGTAACCCCATTGTAGGTTCACTTTGATTCAAAAACCGTAACAGCGGCATTATAACTTTTGACAGAAGAAAACAAAAATACTGTAAATATGCACATCTTTAATATATGCATCAACACTCAGCATAATATAACTTCTAGCTAGAAACTGCGTGTGGTGTTATCCGGACAGATGATACATTCCACATAAGTAAACCGTAAAAGCATCCTGCTAGTATTTGTTGAGCTGTCAATAACATATGATACTGTTGAGCATGAAAACTTTTAATATATGATTAGGTTGCAACACTATCGAACAGTCAGCAATCAAGATATATGATGTGTAAAAAATAGTTCAGCTTATGTTGTCGTGTTAAACATAAGAATACAAAAGTGATAAATGATATTCAAAATGAAGGTCCGAACTCTTAATTTTCAAGCGGGTCTTCAATGCAGCGAGAAATTCCCGCACCCGGAGGCGTCCTTCAGCTG